CCCTACCTATACCTACGTCCGTGCGACCTATACCCTACCTATACCCTACCCTAGGTACATGGTACCCATCCGCCAGTCTAACACTACCTACTATAGACAACAGTACGTGGGAGTCTAACACACTAAGCAACACCCTAGAATTTAGGTCTTAATTAAAGCTAATTTAAGAGAGGATTAAAAGACATGCTAATAGCTTACTAAATTTAATAATTAAAGCTCTTAAAAAGCTTACTAAAGGCGCAGAGCTAATAGCGCATTTACTAGTTTTAGTGCGCAACTAAGTTACTAACCTACAGGCAGCTAACAAAGATGCTACACGTTATAAATTATATAAAAGAAAGTAACGTAGACTATCACCTAGGCTGGCGGATGGGTAGGGTATGCTTTTTTACGTTTTGGCTTATAGCTTCTTAACTAGCAGAGATACGCTTACATAATCTATCATTCAATAGAAGCGCCTAGTATTGCGCCTTCCAATAAAAAAAGAATTAGCTGATTCTGCCTAGTATTAGCTGAGTTATTAACACTACCTAGCAAAGTATACCTATTAATAGGTATGCTTGCTAGGTACCCCCCCTTTTTTGACGTTTTCTAGCCTCTAGCTTGTGCAGTTTAATAGTTATAACAAAATCTTCTACTACAAAAATGTAGAGGTGGTTTTTCTCTTTCTTTTGAGCCCTATTTCGCTAGAATCCATGTATTATTGACAAAGTTTTGGGGGGTACCCACGAAGGACGTTGGAGTATACCCATTCCGCCAGCCTACTATCACCAAGCCAGCCATATCACCAAACCAGCCACTTTCTCTTAGCACAACCACCTTTTACCCTAACATAACATGCCTTAACAACAATAACTTCAGAATACTACTAGAGAAGGCAGAGTTATCCTTGCTATGATCAAAGACTCAGGAACACTCAATGTATCGACTGGAATGATGGCTACCACCTTCGAAGCAATCATTGCTGCCGTCTACATCGACTCTGGTGCGGATGGGCTTGATGCGGTTCACGACGTGGTTGAGAGACTTGGTTTCTTCAATCACTCTTTCTTCACGGTAACGTATTACGACTCCCAACTCCTTGCTTCAGTAAACATACAGATAATAATCGACGTGCAAGACTTCGATCTCAGCTGACACTGGGCACCCCCGGTGGGTCTACGGGAGGCTTTAGGAGGGCTTGGACGAATACGAGCTCGAAGTGCCACCGGTCGTCTGCCCCCTTGCATATGGTCTTGAGGCAGGCCAGATGCCTGGGGAGACTTCCGGATGAGCCTCTTGTCCGCGCAGTCAAAGCTCTCCCAGTGCCTCCCGTGGACCCACTAGCGGTGCCTGGTGTTGTGCTCAGGCCAACAGCTTGCATTGTGGTTATAATAGCCATGCCTCAGGCTTCTGTTGTACACCACGGCCTTGAGGTTGTACTAATATCATTGTTTAGACCACTGGCAATTGAGTAGCCTCACGCTTCTCAACCCAAGCGATGCTGAATCGGAACGAAACGATATTGGCTCCATTGCATTCCATCTACTCATTTCTCGCGGGTTCGAGCCTCCCCTGTCGCACTTCTTCCACTCATTTGTATTGAAGTCATTGCTTTGAATTTCCGACTATACTCCTTAGTATCCACAGAATCGAATCACTTTGTTCACTTCCAAAGTATGCATTCAGTGACACTGAGCTTTCAGCAATCAGTAGATAAACGAATGCTATGTGCTTGTCAGCTGCACTAATGGCAAGATCGGGCAACGAACTGAACACCAGTGACTGGACTGAATTACACAACAATATGTTGAGCAACGACAAGCTCGCTTCAAGAGGTCACAACCTTGGTGTTGACGCCTGCGTCTTCTGCAATGAAGGCACTATGATCTTCACCAAAACGATTGCCAGTACTCTGGAAGCCATCGTAGGCGCTGTTTCCAGGTCATCAAACATCTAGGCTTCATGGAGCATCGTCTTCTCATGGTAATGTTGCAACCGTTTGAATTCCCAACGTAAACAGCTTCTACCACTTGACTAATGTGCATACTTTAGATCCCTGTAATACTGAGCTCAAGATCTTCGAGAAAAGGCAGCACCAGATCCTCTTACCGAGAGGCCGCGCTCTGCTAATTTTCGGTCTGCGTGAGGTCTCTTGTTCGAGTCTCTCAAACAAGAGGTTGCACACAAGCCTGGGCCATCCGTGAGGCGTCGCTTTGTCGTTCTGCGAGTTTTATACTGCTACTCCTCGCAGATCTTAGAGTCAGTCTTGCCGACCCAGATTTAGGAGCCTGCGCAAGTAATCCCCGTTTGCGGCATCAAGCACCAAAGTTAACCTTCTGACGATTATTTTATAGGCTACCGAGATTTAGCGGTTCAAAAGATCAGTCTCAAGCTGCTCCAGGAATATATTTGTCGCAGCAGATATCATGCCTATTTACCAGCCAATTCAGGGGTGCTTATGTATGTACATTTTGCCTCCTTTCTGGCTGCAACAATATCTGAGAGAATTCATGATCTAGTATGCGGGAGTATCTGCTCGGATCTTGTGTCTGGCTGAGACACTTGTCCTTAATTCTGTTTCTATCTAGCCACAAGCCACTCACGCTTCTTACCTTACCTATCATACAACGAGAATGGAAATACCACAACATTCATTAAAGTCCCACTTTCAGATAGGCATTTTTATCATCGCTCCCCGGCCAGTGTCTAGCTTTCAGAATCATCTATCTCGTACCTCAGTAAGATTGCCGGCTAGGCGAGGAAATCAATATTGTTGCGAATCTGGGGTACTAAAGTATGTAAATTTTGCTCCTTTTTGGCTGCGACAAATATCAACTGCGAGAGTAGACACGTCGTCAACTGTACGGTCGTACTTTCCGCCTTGTCGGTTCATGGGCTCGACAGGACTGACTGAGATCATCATGAGCGCCGCAAACAATACTAGAGCGCGGAAAATCGACGAGATTGGTATGATGCTTGCATGTGCCGCTGGGAATATAACCCTAGTGCGTTTCAGAACAGTAAAGATTACACTTAGCATTGAGTATGCCCTCATCATGTATTTAAAAATGCCCAGCTTATAGTCCGGCTGTTATCACCCCGCGTTCATGAAGCAAGCATTGAATCGGAGATTTCGCACATTATGGCGTGCGAGCCGCCGTTGCGAACGTCCACAGCATCACATCGTTTACTGGCTTCCTGCGCTTGCACCATCGGCATAGCCACTTCGATGGCGTGACTCGTAGTCTCAGGGTTCGGAGCCTCAAATTTAGTGAAATACCGTAGATCTCTTTTTTTCCTACAGAAGCTCCGCCTGGGTGATCGGGGTTGGCTTGACGATGCTTTTCAATCTGGTGGTGTGTGTTATCCGCTCAAACAGATAAGTACAGTGAAAATGCTCCACTGTGTCACATTCGAAGGTGCCAACCTGTTGTTTTATGGGAGCCGTGGCTATGAGTTTCGACCTGAAGCTTGTCGCGCAAGAATTTGATGTCAAGAATTGTAAATACAGCCTGGTTGATAATCAGCGTTATGGCACAGCAGATGTTTCGATGACCCTACAATGAACACATTTTGCAAGCCAATGCCAGCCATGTACACCTTGAGAACAAGATTTTGTATTTATACATCACTGCCGGGATTTAGAATTATCCCGCCCGGAGCCTGCTCCAAGAAAGACACACAAGCAGCCCAAGCGAGGTAATTCGCAATCCATAGGCCTTAAGACCAGCACAGCAGTCATCGGGACGAGAGAAGCTCAGTAGACAGCCAAAGTTCATTTAGACGAAAGCATTTATTCCTGCATACTATCAGCGATGCTTGGGTTCAGGTTCTGTAGGAAAGGCTTACATAGAGGCGCAAGCAGGAACAGTGTCAGTACCCGACTTGCCGTTGCAAGTCCCATGTTCTGTTGGTTTCTCTTTCCTAATTTGAGATACGAAACTTATAAATTCAAAGTGGGCGCCTATGATGACGAACCAGGCGAATAGTTTCCTATACCAGAAGCTTGTGCTATGTGTGAGATGGAAGAGATGTCAAAGACGACGCTGTACAAAACTGCGGCAGCGAAAGAGGGATTATAAGTGTAATATGCGTTCATGCCGCGTAGTCGTGAATGCGCCCATACTTTTCGGACACAGCTGTGGTGTACTCAGTGCTGCATGTGGACTCAGCGCGAGAAGGGAAATGTGCATGGCGAATACTGAAGTCGGTACGATGGCCATGTCTGAAAAGCTCGAGATGCTCGCTCGTTCCTGTGTAGACGATTCCGATAGCTGACAACCCGAGGACCATGGCCGCAGGACTCACTCATGTACAATGCCATCGTGTCTCGACTCCTGTTGACCGAAAGTCCCGCTCCGCATTTGCGTCTGTGACTTGCGCGCTGGGTAAGAAGACGCGTAGTCGAGCTATGAGCCAAGCTATTCCATTTTTGCTAAGCATTGCAGGCTATGGTGTGGTATCAGCCTCAAGGCCAACCAGTATTGCGTCAGCTCAGCTTCTGTCGCAAGGTAGGCGACAAACTACGGCTTCAGGGCTGAATGCCTGTGGATGCTTCGAATTTGGATGCAGCTTAAAATTTCAAGAGGACTCATCACTTGCGAAGGTGTTCTGATTGGGCCTGAGCATTGGTTCGGATACGATAACGATCGTGGCGTGTTTTTGCTCTACCATTACCCAGCAACAACTTCAAATCTTTGCAGCAGTGGCCAGCGCTTTCTTCAAGACAAATGAGCCCTTACCCTCTGCAAAGATCTTCCCATGGCCGTCTTCGATCCACCCGACAGTCTCAATCCATCTGCCCTTCTGCCTGACCACTTTCGATCTGCAGAGCAACACACATGGCGTAGTGACTGCCGCTTTGTATTTGATGTTCAGGTCGGCGGTTGCGCTGCCGATATTATTCAAATAATGTACCGAATAACCCATCACTTGGTCAAGCAATGCCGCCGTGATGCCTCCATGTAACCGCCGCACTGCACCGTCCACATCTCGTCCAAGGCTGACCAGGAGTAACGTCTCTGGTATGTCTGGATCTATGGGACTCCACACATATTCCTCCTTTGATAATGTAGATGGCTCGTTGTTTTGCTGATCGATCTTGCCGACCTTGTACATTGACAAGTACGCGCGTAGCGCCTCATCCGTAAAGAGGGTTGTGTTGAAGAACGTGTTCGAGACATCTAGGTCGGCTGACTGGCGCTTCCGTATGTGTATCATCGATGGGTCGGAGAGGAGTTCTCGACACCAGTCTAACGAGGTGAAGTCTTGGAGGTGTTCGATCCTGCCGTTCGCAGAAACAGGGTCTGGTAGCCGGCTCATGGTGGCAGGTACGCTGAGACTATCGATGGCACACTGAAAAAGGATCCCAATCTACAGCAAAGAGAAAGTAGACGGTGACTGTACCCAGCTGCAAGGCCATATTAGTGCGACTGAGTGTTGCGACTCGTTTGCGACGTGAGACGTGGAGCGAGTTCCGAGGTTGTTCAGGGCCGTCTGCTGAGTCAGGAATGCGTGTTATAACCTAACGGTTTTCGAAATACCATGTACATCACGTGCAGTGGCGAGGGGTATTCTCAGAACTTCAACGCATCACCTATAGGCTAATTCTGAGTGTATTTTGATGATTGCAGCTGTTTTCTCAACCTTCTATACACGCTCAATTTATTCATGAAGCTCTATCGCGACTCTCGCGACTATTTTCTGGTGTTGTTGGGGCAGAGACTCCGCGCGGCAACCAACCCACGATGCGCGTCAACGGCAAACGTTTACCCGCCACCACGCAGCAAGCTGTAGTAGAGCATATAGCTGCTGGGGAGAAAGATTCCAAGGTTTCTGCTGCTTGCCAAGTCGATCGTCGCACTGTAGCAAAGCTGCGATTAAGCTTGGAGTACTGGGGACAGTGCTATCCTCCGCCTTCTGTCAGGCTCGGCCGCCCGCCTTTACTGCGGCAAGCGCAGCTAGAAGCACTCCAATTATACCTCGATGGGCGACCCGGCGCCTATCTAGAGGAGATGCAGCAGTACTTATACGACGATTACGACGTGGAGTGCTCTCTATCAACGGTGTGGCGGGCTTTGGAGAAGCTTCACTACAGCAGGAAGCTGGCTACAAAGCGTGCGATTGAGCAAAGCGAGCCACTCCGGAGGGTGTACAGAGCGAGGATGCAACAGTACAAGGCGGAGCAAATCATTGCGATCGATGAGAGCGCTTGCAACGAGAGGACTGGCGACCGTAAGTATGGTTAGAGTAGAGTTGGCACGCCTGTTGAAGTAGCTTACTCTATGAAACAGAGTGAGCGATGGTCACTTCTGCCAGCAATGACAGTCAACGGATACCTCAGTTACACTATTTTTCAAGGCTCAATTACCTCAGAGATTATGGAGGACTTCCTCGAACGCTCTGTGTTGCCACATACAACGCCTGGGTACTCCGTCATCGTACTGGACAACGCCTCTATTCATCGATCGACTCAGGTTCGTGAGCTTTGTGCGATGTACGAGGTGGAGCTGGAGTACCTTCCGCCATACTCACCTGACTACAATCCGATTAAGAAGAGCTTTAAGCAGCTGAAAAGTTGGATTAAAAGACACTCTAATAAGCAGGCTTTGTACAACAACTTCTTCTACTTTATAGAGTATGCTGTTAAACGTGTGTTAATAGAGATTGATTGCCGCAGCTGGTTTTAGATGTGTGGATATCAGCCAGATAGGTGGGTGGACGTGCATAGGCATCCTGAGACTGACAACGTCAACAACTTTTTGTTAGAAAGTATTACGCAACCCACAAACACAATTAATTAATTCTAAAGATTTTACTAAAGCTCACCTGTATATAGATTAGTACTCTAACAAGCTCTTATAAATTAATAATTTGTTGTTGTGAAGTGGTGTTGATGCTGTGATCTTCTGGGTGGCGAGAATCGCGACTCACCTCGTCCAACATCACCTGGTGATGTTGCTCAACAGAGACCTGCAATCTCGCTCACGCCGCGCTTGTTGACTCCTGCGCGCTGACGCTATTTTCTCAAAGTTGTTAGCAGAGAGGCCTCTGTAAACTTTCCTCCATTTCAAAGCGTGACGTTGGAGTTAAAGAAGCAGGCCTGGTTGCATACCAAAGTGCTCAACCCACAGAGCCATACTCACTCCATTCTCATTGCTGTTGTCCATCAACATGTTAATGTCAATGTGGCCGTCACGTATAACAGTGTCTCTAATCTTCTAGATGCTATCTTCAGCTCCTTCTACGTCCCATTTAGCCTTGAAGTACTCCAGAAAGTTGTCAGTATGAGCCATAATCTCTGCCCAAAACTCGTACTCAAATGGCTGCCAGCCAGCCGGCCGATTGGCTGCCAAGCCGCCAGAAAGTTGAGTCAATTGAGCCATGAGAACAGACTTTTGGAGCTCTCGCACCTCATCCAGTACACCTCCGCCGCCACACCCGCCAACGTGCTGCTGCCGCTTGCGCACTTTATCAATCTCACTACGCTCGCGAGCTCTCATTATGGCGGATTTGATGCAATCGTTGGGCTCAGAGACGGTACACTGTTGCTGGTTGACAGCCTTTGCCCACATCGCGATAATATTCGGATTGACAGGATAGTGCGTCTCGTCAGGTAAGCCACTACGCAGCTGCCAGCAAGTCCAAGGCCAGTTGGCACACTCTTTATCCTCACACCGCCAGGTATCCCTCACAGCGAGCGTGGCTCCCTGTCCAATGAGATTGGCAGCAACAACACCCTCCAACGCCTCTTCTTGTATCACCGTCGCGGTGCGAGCTCGCGGCTGCGATGAGCGGGGAGGTAGCGGCACAGCACCGTTGGACGTGGGTATGGGGTCTCCAGCAAGGTACAGGTTGACGTCTATGCAAAGCCTCTCGCTGGTGTTGACGTCAATCGATCGCGCGAGGTCCTTCAGCGCTTTTACGTCCAGAAGTGAGCCTCTCCAAAGGCATTTTACAGGCCTGTCGCGCTTATTAGTACCTCTGCCATGCCACAGTTCTGCTAATAATAAGACCAGTTAGACGTTGACGCGCTGGGTGACCTGGCTGTTAATTACCTCGTCAACCCACTGCCAGAGGCCTGTCATGGTGAGCCAATTAACCTTATAATCAGCAAAGGTGTCAGCTGCAGAGTGGATAGGATTCTTCTCAACATCGCCGTAAGACGCGCGGTACCTCACTGTGGCAAGTACCTCGTGCTCCTCCTCCAAGAAGGCTCCAACTGGCGACCTCCCAGCCGCCACAACCTCGACAACAGCCTCTACATCGGCGTCACCAAAGGCCTCGGCATCTGCGTCAACCTCCGGGTTTGGATCGGCCTCATCATCTTGTCTGGCATCGTCATCATCCTCACCTCCAACAGGAGAGTCCTCGCGCACAAATAACGTCTCAGCCTCACTAGCTTAGCTAGCAGAGGGTCGCTGTGAAGGTTGCCTCACTGTTAAGGGTGGAGTAATCAGGTTAACGCCTTGTTCAAATGGCTGAGTTGCAATGCGCTGACGCTTACTAGATGCAGCTGGTGTTGTAGGTGCAGGTGCCTCCTGTGTCAATTTGGGTGCTGGCTCATCAATTTTCCACCAATTTGACCTTCTCGTAGGCATCACAACACCACAAAAAGTCAAGATACTAATAATATCAAGCTTCAATTATCCTAGAAGGAGCAGCAGCCAGCTCTGTTGTTGTTAAACGCCAAATTTAGCTAAGACAGCGACATTGACATCATCCGCATCCTCCGCGCGCTAAATCACATGATGTACATGGTATTTCGAAAATCACCCATACCGCAATAACTACATGATACGAACGACCTCACACGCTTGAAGACCTTGCACTGTACCTAAATCTCACCCTTCAAGGGGTGGCTAACGCGTCCCCGCCGCGATTGAACTTTTCCATGCATCCTTGCCTACTTGGCTCATCGCTGTTATCGTCGTCGAGGCTTGCAGCTGGCTGTAACTCTTGGCGCTACACGTCAAATCCGCAAATGCGCGCGGCAAGGTGTTTTATCTGGCGACACGTCTGGGCTTCGACCAAGCCGAATGGAACGCCCTTCTCTCTAGTCTTTCTTAGGTAGATCATAGCCTGCATTCGTATCCTTTCGTTGCCATTTGGTGATGCATTAAATTTCTCTGGTCGATCTTCGCTCCTGTCCTGATGCTATCTTCATCTTCTCGATGGACGTCGGCATCTACGAGATTCGCTATCGCCGCAAGAGGCTTGTCTTTTCCTTCTGATTACCTATGTTATGTGTATCTTCATGAGACGGTGGTGACTCCTCGATCTGGAACAGCACATACATTATCGGTGGAATAGATTTGATTACACCAGCTCTGGGTCCGTCTGCTACCACGACTAGTGACCACAACATCAGGACTCTGACTGTAGTCAACGAGGGGAGCAGCATCATGCATCAACTCGAACACGTCCCGCATGCAAAACCTGTGGAAAGTGACAGAACTGACGATGATACCGGGAATGTGCCTACCGAGGCTACAGGTATCGGATACCGGCAATGCGTATCTGATCCCTGGGGTCAACGTCAAGGACGCAGTGGACAATTACACCACTGAGCAAAGAAGCCTCAGTACGTCAAAATCTTATTGAGCAGATGAAAGGCTGGACTATCTCTGTTCACCAACTTACGGTACGAGGATCGCTCTACCTCGCACTTTTCCGTCTCTCAGATCCTGTACAGCGCGCTCGTAGTCCGCAAGCTTATACTTCGACGTGTGCAGCTTGACCTTTCCTTGTGCAGCTAGTACCATCAATTCAGCGAGGTCGTTGTAGCTGCCGACCAGATTGCCAACGAAGTTGATTTCTGTCGAGATGATGTCGATAGTAGGGATGTCGAGGTTCTCGCCATATCCTACTACATAGTAATTGCCAGCTCTTCGCAGCATCTTCACACCGGTTTTGGTGGAGCCGCCCTCGGCAACAAAGTCAATAACAGATGCGGCTCCTTTTCCCTTCGTAAGGTTCATGACCTGCTCTACGAATGACCCGTTTCTATCGACTTGTACTGTGTAATCTGCTCCAATGGATGAGGCGAGGTCGAGCGCTGACTGGTTGCTATCTACCACAATGAGTGTTGCCGCACTCATGGCCTTCATACACTGGATGCCTATGTGGCCAAGCTGATTTATTTCGTCAGTGATCAGCTCAACTTCACACATAGTAACTTACACCACCTGCGCCAATCATCACGCAGTAGTCACCTGGCCGTAGTATTCTAGCTGCCTTTGTGACGACGTGGTAGGCTGTTAAGCCCGCGTCTGCGAGAGCTGCAACATCCGAAGGCTCGAGCCGGTCATCCAGTTTTATCACACTTCGTGCAGTCGTACGGATGTATTCCGCATATCCGCCATCAACGTTGATTCCCGGGAATTTGCTGTCCTCTACACCTCGTTAGAACCTATGTTGAAGCAATACTCGCGACTCACCGCAGTGAACATCATCGCCAAATCGACACGCCGTACACAACCCGCAGGTCACAAGCGGATGCAAAATAACCTTGTCTCCCACCTTAACATTGTTGACCGAAGAACCAAGTTCATGCACCCATCCGGCATTCTCGTGACCAATCGTATACGGCAACTCCACGTTGGACTTCTCTTTCCACTCGCCGTCGCAGATGTGGATGTCTGTTCGACACACGCCGGCAGCGCCGACTTTTACGATGACGTCGAGTGGTGACTGGATCGTGGGAGTAGGAACGTCGTGCATCTCCATTGGCGCATGGTATGCCATGACTCGTACAGCTTTCATGGTTTTGACAGCCATCTAGCAGGGATCTGGGTGGTCGAGCAGATAAGGTGAGTAATCTGAGGGCTTCCCATCGTGTATATATACTCTGAAGTCTCCGAGCGGGGTTACTCGCCAGCTGGCCGCGTTTTGCGTGTCGACTTGTGAGTCTGGAAGTTAATTATTTGTGTGGCGCGGAGATGGGTCCGTTGTAAAGCCTACTTTAATATGTGGGGGAAGGCGAGGCTGCCACTAGCTTCCTTCACGCCGGCGGGGCCAGGCTCGCAGAATCGCTACAAGCAAGCTGATAGCGAAACAATGCCGTAATGAAAGCTATTTCATTATATGCACAGAGATATTGTGTGCGTCCAACACCCGGAACTAGACTTGAAAACCATAGTGTACTTGGTAATGTTGGAAATCAAAGTGCCACGAGGATGCCACCACAATTCGAATTCTTTGATTTGGAACCGGTGATCATGTACGAATTGCTCAATGTGACCACTACTGAGATCGTATCATCATACTGTGCGATGAGTACCGAACGAGAAGTGAACTCTGGGCCGTATCTGAATTGATTTTTCCACGTGCAGCCTATCATTGTGAAGACATATGTTTATCGTATGATGTCATCGCCAAGCTATGTAAATTACCCCTCCTCCGTTAGCACCGCCTCTTCCACTCACCAGCCACGTCTCCGCGAGCACCCGCCCACACCTTACCACACCTGGAATTTACTAGCCTTGGACCCCTATTTCCTAAGTTTTTACGGGGATGTCTTCTAACGGTCTTCCCGAGGTGTTGATGAAGAAGGTTGATGATTACGTCGACTCACTCGCCCCTCAGATACAGCCCCGCATCGCGTCTGAGCTCGAGCTGTTCCAACAAAAGACCATCGATAGTCTCGAAACGCAGGTTATTGATGCCTTCCGCTCACTCTTCAACAAGGACAAGCCACTCTCGTCGGATGGCACCCGAGGTCCTTGGAACCAGAACAACTCCGCACCAGACGCGTACGGGGGCCAATCTCTGCCCTTCGCTGACGAGATTGCCAAGTTGACGCGTAGCTTCAGCCAAATCTCGGAAGAAGCAAGTGGGGATTTACAGGATATCTTCAACCTCACTCAAGGGCGTGACGGAGAAAATCAAACTCAGTCCCGCAGCCTCAGAGATGATGACGGCGACTTCTCTGGCAAAGCTCGTGGTTTTCTCTCCTCAGCCCTCAATGCTGTGCAGGACAATCTTGACAACAAACAAGGCTCGGGCGGTCAGAACTTTCAGATCGGAGGGCTTCTTGGGGTGATCAGCAGCACCATCAAGGACGCATCTGCGAACCCTGAAGAGAAGGCACGACTCATCAGCCCTGAGATCAAGCAGACCGTGGGCGACAAGCTGCGCACAAAGCATGCGTCCATCGCAGAGCAATTCACACGTATTGCTCTAGACCACATAAAGCGCTGGCTTCGTGGAAACACGAGTACCCGTGACCTTGGCGATGGCGCTAAGGCAGAGATTGTCGACCAAGTTGGTGATCTGGTCAAGGGTCTCGGTAGCTTGTTTGGCAAGAAGTCCAACAACGAAGGCTCGGCCAGAGGTTTTGAAGAATCTACCCGTAATGGTGAAGAGTCGGGCGGTGGTGGCTTCTCGAGGGTTATCAGTGACAAACTCTCCACTGGCCTTGCAAAGGTTCACAGAGAGGTTCGTTTGGAGTTCCGCAAGGTCCTTGGTGAGATCGAGAAGCAGCTTTTTGAGCTGTTGCCTGATCAATTTCAGCGTCCACTCGAGAGGATCCTTGGCGGAAACCCATTCGATTCCCAGCTGGATCGTGACGTATCTGGCCCAGCAGACCGTGGGTTTGGAGACGACATCAAAGCCAAACTCCTTAGCAAGGTCCGCGCACTTATACAGAAGGTCCAAGAGACACTGCGAGAGAGCATCCTAGGTGTCGTCAACGGTGGCCATCGCAAATTTGAGCGCGAAAGCTGGGTCTTCGTCCAGAACATGGTCGAGCAGAAGGTACAGAGGTATCTGCCTGACGTAAAGATCAACGTGCCCGATGATATTGGCAACGAAAACGTTAGTGTAGGAGAACCTACTTCAAACACACATATGGGTGGAGGATACCAAGCATCGGCTCCCCAAGGTGACCTCGGTCCAGAACCTCCACGCGACAGCTACAACGAGCCGGGCCATGGACAACAGGCATACAATGAACCGATGCGACAGGTGAACCACCAGCAGTATCACGGTGAGCCCAACCGACAATATGAAGACTACCAGTCTCAGCAGTACCCTCCACAAGGCTACCAAAATCAACAATATCCACCGCCGCAGGAATACCCGCAGCAAGGCTACCCCCCGCAGAATTATGAACATCGATACTAACTCCATCTCGTTGACCGGACGATCGCTGAGCGCGACACGTTGGCTCTATTCCGTTGAGTAGCGCGACCAGCCCTTGGCATTGATGTGCCAGGGAGACAGCACAGAAATGCAGCAATGCAGCAATTCATCTCAGCTTTATTATTCGATTCGCTGTGCGATTGGGGCATATGTTCTGATTAGGAGACAAGATCTTCGAGACTACGATGGTCTTGAAGAGTCTTAGCCGATATTATTACAGCCTGTGTGTCAATAGTACAAGGTACCAGCTACGGCATCCCGTGCTTCGAAAAGAAGCAGATACAGAATTGATAGCTCCATCAACATTTCGCAGCGCGACCGATGCCACCATGAGTAGTGATTGAAATGTTGACGCTAGCGATCAACGACCCGCAAGCATGCTAATGAGGTTGATTCGAATGTATCGGCAAAGCCCAGGAAAGTTTCTTCACCAAATAGGTTAGCTTCGCTGTCGCACGGCACGGACAGCTAGCTAGGGCTAGCCAAAGAAATCCGCAATCTTGCATCTGACCATACGCACGACCGAGCGCCAGATAGACTGCGAATCCTGACTCCCCCGCCCACGGCTAAAAGCAATGCGCGCCCGAACTTCTGTCTACGGACCGGCCCGCCTTCCCAGGAAAGGCAAGAAATTCTTGCACCAAACAAGCAACATCGTGCAGGACGTTGTAGGTATGAAAGCAGCGTGATGCCTAGCAGGCAGTCGGAAATCAGGGGGGACGTCGTCGTGTAACACTTGTTTATTCTAGGAACCGCAAGCTTATTGAACCCCGGTAGTGATGGCCCAGAAGGATGCCTCGAAGTCTCTCAACCACTAAAAATTGGGCTCGATGGGTGAGTGCATGTTGTCAGATGTACCTGCTACCCGGAGCTGGGGGAGAGATTAGGCGTCTATGTCACGCACGGATAACGTACAATGCCGCAGGGCATTATTTGAATGCGAAAGAAATGCTCGCAGAGACCGGGGATTCAGCACAGAACCTAGAGCTTCTCTACTGCTCTGCGCAGCGCTTTGTTACGAAAATTCCCGGAGGCGCTTAGGCACACAGTGTTCCATCAGCCCGTGCACGGCATCGGCTCGTGCACGCTTTTTAGCAAAACCAACACTCACACAACAAAATCCTATATTAATTTACTCAACGCCATGCCAGAATTAGATACCGCCCTTGAAGCCCTCGGTCCGTAGAAATCAGGCAAACCATATCCCTACGCTCAAACTGCAAAAAAATATGGCTGCAATCAATCAACGTTGTTGCGCTGGCACTGTGGGGTATACGCGTTGCGCGCGCGAGGCTATGCAGAGCAGCAGCATCTTAACACTACGCAAGAGAATAAGCTTATGAAGTATATAGATGTACCCTGCAAGCGTGGCTTACTATCTACAAGGGAGATGATACGAAATTTTGTAGTAGAAATATTAAATAGTATGTTAGAAAGTCCTAACGTACCCCACGGACGAAAGAATTAACCGGCGAGAGAATCACTTTTGCTAAGCCCCCACTAAACCACTCTTCCTACACCAATGTCTTTACAATAACACTATTTAGACGTGTTAAAAGAAGCTTAGATACAGCTTGCGCTCTAGGCTCTTAAACAAGACGCAACACTCTCTTAGCAACGTGCTGCAGCTATCTACAGAGTTCCTTAAGCTACACTAAGCAAGCAACGCGCAGGACAACCTTCACGTGCTAATTCTATAGCTAACTTACAGAAGCTAGACAATAATAAGAAGAAGATAATTATTAAACATGTTCTTAAGCTAGACGCGCAAGGATTTTCCCCTTAGCTCTTAGATATAACGTAGATTATCACCGAGCCAGCCATATCACCAAACCAGCCATTTTCTCTTAGCACAACTAACACAAGTTACTGCAACTACAACTACTTGCTATTAAATAGTAACCTAGCATACTGCGTGCTTGCATTAGATTTAGAAGATGTTTCTATACCCTCCTAGCACATTTGTGCGTTGTGTCTAGTCTTGCTGTAGTTCCTACAGCGCTAAACAGTTAACTAAGCTCCTAGTTAACTACCTCTACCCTAAGTCTTCTTAGATGGCTGAGCTGCTACACACGCCTCAGCAGCTACCCGCAATGCTGCTG